TAATCACTTTGAAATAGTAATGTGAATTTTTAGCTTGAAGAGAAAATAAATGAAATTTCAACGGTGAAGAAATAATGAATTAATTTTTTTTAAGGTCAAAAATGTGTTCTGAATATATTTTAACACTGAAACAGTAAGTACAAACATACAACATTTAAATTTCAGTGGCATTTTTAATTCAAATCCCAGCGACACAGATTTACTTCCATACAAACGGCGTAAAGTAGGAAGATCTCACCTCAGGGTCGCGGATAATGAAATCTGGATAATAGTTCTTGACGATTTTCAACCAGCCGGGGATTTTGCTGGGTTCCTACAAGCACAGAGAGAGAGATGACCGATTAATATTTGAGTGAATTACATCAGCTCCGTGTTCCAGCCAAGCCTCCAAGGGGATCCTCACTGACCTTGCTGATTTTGATCACATCCAGCTCTTTCTGGAGCCGGGCCAACATGGCGTCATCATAGCCTCCGGAGCACTTGGTGACTGTGCACCATTTCCTCGAGTCAGGGTCATAACAGCCCATCAGGAAGCTGGACATGATGCCCCCTGGTGGGCAGAACAGTAGCGACACGAAGAATAAATTCAATTTTCAACTTTTTCCTCCAGAGTTGAAACTTTTTTTTCCCCAGCGGCCATTTTTTGCTTCCCTCTGTTTCTATTCCTTTTTAACCGTCTCCTTAACCCCGCTTCCAGACTTTAACCTACTACTGTGTTTCCAGGTTAATTTTACCCTCATTGCCCTGCCCCCTATACACCCCCCTCCCTCATATCATCTCCCTCCACAGTTTGCCCAGTGGGATTCCCTCTGTATGCATTATGCTACATCTGCATATTTTCCCCATGAACTACCCTGATCTTCATCTGTATTCCCAGCGCAGCACCGCGTTGCATGGCTGCCTGCAGAACATGCAGTCTATCTATAAGCACTAACTGACCCCCTCCCAACAAAAACAATAAGCACCTCAGAGAAACATTCTGATGGGAACATAATGTGGTTCAGATGCAGACCAGGGATAGGAATAGAAATGATTGAATTTGCAAAGAGCTGGATCATCTAGAGCGGGCCCAGAGGAGGACGCAGGTCTGCTGAGAACAAGGTTATATCTGCTTATCGTGGCGTAGATCCTATCGAGGTGAAATTATGTAGGAAACTAATAAAAGCTAAAAACAGGAAGTTGATGAGCATTTTTGAAATGACTGCAAATTAGTTCTGTAGTCGACAAAATCAGATCTGTACATTAGGGTGAATTTTTACTACCTCATATGCCTGCAGAGTAATTTGAAGAACTTTT